TTACAACAATTAAAACGGCAAAGCCAGTTACATTAATTGGAGACACATACTATGCAATATATTTTGCGTCCTATGCCGTAAAAGGCGTATTATTCACCAGCTGAGTCAGCGACTTCGTCCGCGTAGAAAACTTATTATGGATTGCAAACCCCCTGTTCAACTCTCAAATATGAGCTGTTGTCCATAACGTCGTCCGCGTCCCGTCGTTCTTGCCAGTTAATCTTAATAGATAGACATATATTGTCGCGGACTGTTTTTTAGATTAATTATTTAAAGAGGAATAATTCTTTCATGGAAACCCACTAGGATGAATAATTTTCCCCGATTTTTCGACATTTCCCGCTGTTTTTTTTTTGCTTTTATTAGTTTATAGCCTTCCTCAAGTAGTTCCTGAGATTAGCGCGTTCAAACAAACAAACTCTTCAGCTTTATATATTCGTATAGATAAGGAAAAGAATAAACTGTCATGCAGTTGCAGTATGTTATTAACAATTGTTAAATTCATAAAGATAACTTATGTAATAAATAACCTTATTTTAATTTTAACTTACATTTCGATATGGTGAGTTTGGAATGTAAGGAATGCTAAAAAACTATTAACCGATTTAAACGCTGAAATATATTCAGAGCCACAAGAGAAGAAGCAGGAGGACGTCACCTCTATAAAAATTTCGGAATTCAAGCTGTTAAAAGCTATTTAATAAATCCATTTCTTACATCTACTTAATTAACTAAACGTGTTACAGACAGTCGGAGGTCACGAAAAAATTTAATTTAATTTCGCGAAGACAATAATAAATGATTTTCTAGAGAAGAATTAATTAATCTCGGTGCAGTTTTTTTGCTGCGGCTGTCTCGAAAAGATTTATCTTTCGTTAAGTTTTCTTGGTTTTTTTAATTGCACTGAGTGATCTAACATTAATTATAATGAGCACAAGTAAACACACGGATTAATAAAAAACATGATTTTCAATAAAGAGGAAAATAAAGAAGCGCAATTAACTTAGGCGAAAATAAATTCTACCATTATTTCTGTAAGAATTATGTTAACAACTTTCGGTCACTGGGCTCTTGTAGAAAAACATTTTTAGAATAACTCGTCATAAAATTGCAGTTAGGCTACTCTGCCTCTAGCGGTCTCAAATATTGTCCGTAGTATATGCGAGTAGTACAAATAGCGTACAAGTAGCGTAGTAAAACATGACATGTTTAATTTATTTACAAGTTCCTTTAAACTCGATTTTGCATCAGTTATGGTAATCATCACCACGGTTATAATTTACAAATGATTTTTTGAATCGTATGGTTTCTTTGTCATACCATGACCGACAAGATTAATATTATTTGATGGAAGGTTATCCTCAACATATAACATCTGAACAAGATCCGCTGTCAATCTATTTTGGCTTTGGACATTCGGAAATTCATAGGCTGAAACCGAAAGGCGGCTGAAAAAGCTAGAGAGATGGCGTCTAATGACCCACTGCGAGCGGCGAGACGGGGAACAATGAGGCGACGCTATGCACACCTCCAAGATCATTCCTAATCTCGCTTCCGACCTATCTGAAATGGGAATTGGTGCTGGGAGCTTTGGGGTCGTACAAACGTGTTCCCAGGGCTCCCTCTAAGCACCGTAGAAGGCTGGTGGTGTGTTTATTGGTTCTGGTCGGCTATACGATTTACCACCCTCCCCACGTCACACTTGCCCGACGTGGGCGTGCATTTGGCATTCACACCATTACTTACAAAAAAACTGAAACAGAAACGCGATTACACTTTACAATTTTTTCTGCAACTACTACTACTTCTTCGTGATTCTCCCGACAAAGTCTAAAGTGTTTCAGAAAATATATTGATTATACATTTATGTATAGATAAACGTAGCAATTATCGCGATAATTTCTCCATTCAAATCCCGAGCAAATACAATTTCTCGTTCCATTAGGTGAGCATAAAAAGCACCTTCTACCGGGAAAAAGTAAATCCATCAGGAAAACACAAGTACAAATGCAACTGCTGCTTTCTTAAATTAAATAAATGTTAGTTCGCTATTCTACGAGAAAAAAGATATCCTTAAAGCCGAAGGGATGATTGGGTGTTTATTACACTTTTATTCTCACTTTGAACGAAATTTGATACATCTTAAGCGTTATATTTATGAAAAAGTTTACCCTTTAGCTAAATTATCTTACACTTTATCTTATCTTAGCTAAATACTATCTGTAATTTACGTGAGTAGAACACATTTAAATAAAACACTTTAACGGTTTTAAATTTATTAGCGTAACTCATTTGAAAAATATATTACACCCGGCGTTTCAGACGCTTTGCGGCAGTCGTGGTCACGGGGAGTATCCCCGTAATCGCGGTTCCAGTTAACTAATATATTTCGCGTTTTAAACCGTTGAAGTTTTTTTTTGAAAGCCATATAATATCTGAACAATTTGCGCTGTTGACCTATGCAGACTTTTCGGTATTCATTAAATCCACAGACTGAAGCCGAAACACGATTGAAACTATTTTGTAACTGCAGACGTTTTGGTTCGAGACTCGGATGGAATGTCGATATTTCTATCACCCATTTAATGGCTACATTTTGCAGACTAAGATTCTAACATGTTTCAGAAAATCTTTCATTATTTAGCCAACCGTTGCTGCTTTTAGACCAGAGAAAAAATTACTCTAAAGAAGTAATCAGGCTGTCTAATACAAACGTGACTCGGCACCCTCTGAGAAGTAGAATTTCGGGCATTTTCAAAAACCTACGTCATATGCAGAACTAACCCAAGTATTCCAAACAAAACTTTTTATAAGTGCATATACCTGCTATACATAACGCTTGCAAATCACTAAAGTACTTAGAGTCAAAATGCATTAACAGTGTTCGTTAAGAGCCGTGTGCTAGACGTTTTAGCATGTAAATGACAGGTTCCTGTAGTGTTTGCTGTGTTCGTCTGTCGGTCTATCATTAGCTTTGCTCCGTATTTGCTAATGAACTGCAGGAAAGGCACCGAGATCTTCCCACGCCTGTGCTCAACTAGATGATGCTTCGAGTTAGGTTTATGTCGCAGGTTGTTAATTCAAAATTATTGTTATTTGTAGTTTATACAAAGTAGTACAGTGTTAATAATTTTCGGCTTAAAAGAATCAAAACTGTTTTTGTTATATCGTAGAAGACACTGATTCTCGCCGTGAAGCTTTTTAAATTTATATCTTACAATGTTCTCAGTAAAATTTGTTAAAAACGATCTCTCAGTATACATATATGTACATATATTTAGATATATATAAGAAAGTTTTCTAGTCTATAAGAAATTGTATTATTAGTTCTACTTATCATAAGAGACAGCGCTGTTTAGTTTCCTAAATAGATAATAAAGTAAATGTGTTTTTTTTTTATTTGGTATTGCCATTACACATAATATAGAAAATGCAAAATACTTCAACAATTTCATTACTTTCGAAAAAGTTAGTTTATTTACTAGTTTTAATGACTACTTCTAAGTTTAGATTGTTCCTTGACTAAGCAAAGACAACAAGACTCTCTTCTAAAGGTGCCAAGTCCTCATGTTGTCGGACCTCTAGAACTATTCTCATTCACAACGGCCAAACAGCTCAAAAAGTATCGTTACAAAATGGCCGCCAAAGCGTCAACAATGCGTGTTGTTTTAAGCGAGCTTTCATAACGAATTCTCTATAATATTAATGTTATGTGTTACATTATCCAATAAAGTCGTCATTGCGATAACCGATAATCCTTTTGATACGGTTATTCGGGAAATCGTAACGATCATTGCATATTTATTACCGTCATTATTCGGCGCAAAAATGCAGCGATTGGTCCATTAATAATTGAGAAATGTAATAACTTTGTAATAAATTTATTATTTCACGAGGGCGTAATGAAAAAATTAATGAACGCGCAGTAATTTATTGGTGCAATCGTGGTGTTTCCGTTTAATTGAACTACGACGTGGGAATTAAGATTATCATAACACAGAAAAGCAGATATAGGACATAGGATAATAATCTAAAAAGCAGATATTTTATTATTATTAACCCATAGTTTGAATTCAATATACATATCTTTAAAATACATTCAAGCTTGATTTCAAACAAGATCTTTTTACTTCATTTTATTTCAATTACTTACGATACATACGAAAAAGGTTCTACTTTGTGCCCTCCGACCTAAACAATTTATTGTTTTCTAAGTTAAATTAGAACCCAGGACCTGCGCCTACCACAAAGTTAGGTAACGCATTTAATCAATACATTATATATCAAATATAATCGAATATAGATATCAATTATAACGGTTTAAAACGCGATATATTAGTTAAACTTATTTGAAAATGATTTTTAACTTCGGCCCGACGTTTCGGATGATTTGCAGCAGCCGTGGTCACGGGGAGACTCACGTGTTTTATTTAAATGTTTACTCGCGTAAACTATAGACAGTATTTAAGTAATTAATTATTTATTTTAATTAAGGTGCGGTGTTTTGGCTGCGGCAAGGCTACTCGTGAAAACTAGAAACAATACCTAATGTTATTATACTTTTCTCCATCTCTAAATGAAAAGGACGTAAATTTAATCATTTGGAACACTTATAAATCGTATATGGTTTTCGTTTCACCATCACGAGTTTGATAATGAACTAATATTAAAGTACGACGGACGAACAGCTCAAAAACCGAAGGAGCATTGAAAAAGGAAAACTCGTAGCTATAAAACATGTATTTAAAATAGATTTATTCAACAACAACATTTAGAACATGATAACAAATTAAACATATAAAAATAAATGTCATGATACTTGTTAATCCATCAGGTTAGGCTTGAAAACTTTATGATTTTTTTAAAAATCGATAGTAAATTGTAATTTTTTTCTGTTGTTCACGACTCGGTAGCTCAATTGGTAGAGCAACAGCACGGAACGCTGACGATGTTAGTTCAAGTCCTTATATTATATTTCAGATTTCAAAAATTCTATATAATTATTGCAAAGTAGCCACTTTACTTCTGTATACGTCGCCTAGTTCCTTGTTCCCAGGAACATTTTTGCTTTTGTAGATATCAAGTTCGGAGCAGCGTTTGAACCAGGCGTAGAGATTTGGGTATCTGAAAATAGACCAATACATACAGACATAGACAATACAGATTACAGATTAACAGCCAATACCCACGCGTTGTTTTAAATTTTGTAAATAGTTCTGGCCTTGAACTGTAAACTTTCTATAAGTACTTCTCGTCTGTTGTCTTCTACAACACAGAAAGTAATTGTTAAATAAAATGCTTTTAACGGATTTATAACGCAAAACTATTAAAAATTTTAATTATTTATTTTTTGGACACGCTTTTTGTGTATTTAAGTGAATGCTGTAGATTTATACCAATGATATAATTAAAAGACGAAAATGACTCACGTTTTAGCATCAATAGGAATAATTTCGTCCAAACTGCTGACACTCGTCACACAGCAGATATCAGCGATGGTGAACTGGTCTCCAGCCAACCAGGTGTTGGTCGCGAACTGTTCCGTGAACTCGTAAGCTGCTTTGATCTTGTCGAATTCCTCTTGAGAGTTTCGTCTTCCTTGGAAAACTACTGGACCCTGTTTGCATTTGTTAAAAATATATAATCATAAACGAGAGATGTTATAAAGAAATTAAAAAACGCGGGAGGTTCTTTGTTCAGTTCCCGGGGGTAAAATAGAATGTTTCAGTCAGGCGGGGGACAGAGATCTTCAAATTCTCTTTATGACTAAATTTAGCAATTAATGCACTTAATTTTTGTATTTGTGAGAATTGTATGTTTTTCATTATGTACATGTATAGATATATTTCTATTAATAGTAATGGGGCATATAGGTTAGGTTAGGTATAGTAGACTACAAAAAATAAACATAATTTGAATAAAAATTGGTAGTTTCTGCTACGACAGAATATCGCAATATTTCCTTAATTTTCTTTAGTTTTATTGAAATTTGAATAAAATTTTACCGAACGACACACAACATAAACAAATAACTTTTCAGATGTTTTTTTGTATTGCTTTTACATAGAGGTTCTCCGCAGAACTAATAAAACTTAAATCTCATGTTAATTTTTTTGTTACCTTCACTAACAGTGTACTCGATCTCAAGAAGCCGTGACGTCACTAAAGGTCTCAAAATATATTTTTAGTATTTATATCTATAATTGAAAACATTTTTCTAGAGTCTCTAGTTCTAGAGTCCATCTCTTAAGGTTTACCTTAATAAAAATATTTGTTTGCATTGTATCAAATAATAACCTCAGAATGTTTTCACTTACAAAAGCACCGCGTATAGCAGGGAACAAGATACCACTGTCGAAATGCAAACGCTGTTCGACGATCGCTCGTAGCTTGGGCTCGGCTGGGTAAAGGAAGTCATCCTTGCCGTACTTGTTCAGTAAATAGGTGATGATGGCATGGCTGCAAATATTAAAATGGTGTATATATAGTGTGTGTGGTGTATATATGGGTATATACGTAGTTTAGAAGTAAGCTGGTTCAGCATCGGCGCTTCAGCTTATGATTCCATGCCTGACACCTTTTTATATTTAGGATTAAATTCTTGGTTGATACGTTGTATTTTTAGTTGGTTTACCTTAGATTCTTATGAGACTAATTATAATAGAAAATTTATCTATACTAATATTATAAAGAGGAAAGATTTGTATTTTTGTATGTAACAGGTAAACTCAAAAAGTACTGGACCGATTTTGATAATTCTTTTTTCATTAGAAAGCTACATTATCACTAAGTAACATAGGTAGCTATATTTAGTACTCAATTACTATAGATATCAATAGAAATTCTTACTAAAACCAACGGAAGGCGTAAAAAAATTAGCCGTAAAATGTCTTTCTTCGCATACGTTGCGAAAAAGTTTTAATGATAGGACAAAAAAATGTTCGACAATATTATAGAATATATCTACAAAAAACATGGCGAGAGCATATGTCTAACTATTGCAGTTACATCGCTATAAATAACTACTTTTTTACATTTAAACAATTTGATAGAAATGCCGATCAAAATCAGACCGTGCTATCCGTACCATTTATAAGTTTATATCCGAATAAATAATTTATTCAAGACTGTCTCATTACCTGTTGATTATTTTTTTAATTATTGAAATCGGACATTCCATTCAAAAGATATCACGAAGTTATAAAAATGCATGCCGGCGGTGGCCGCCACGCCGCGCATTGGGTATCTAATTCGACGATAGAGGGGCAGTGGGCTCCTTACGCAGTGAGCGCGAACGACATTGAATATTTCGATTTTTTTTTAAACATTTTTATGCTTCACTTAAAAAGTTCTTTTCAAAGCTACTTAGTTTAGTATTAGGAATCACACTTTGCATAATATTTGTTAAAGTTCTTTTCAGAATTGTCGCTTTGAATTTGAATATTTTCTTCTGTATTATTATTAGTTTATTCTTACAAAGGTCGTTAACAGCTAGGACGCGAAATACATTTTTTTTCTTTTTTAGTGATTCATGGTCGTTTTAATTAGCATGCTTATAATTTTAATATCTGTACTTATTTATGTCTACCCGTGCGAAGCCGGGACAGGGCCGCTAGTTATAATATAATTGGTACTATAAATAAATTTTGATCATTTCAAAGTCTTTAACGGGTTTTCGAGCTGTTCGACAATCGTAATTGAGAATTGGCGGTCGACGTTTATCGGGATATATATGTGTTTTTCTTTCCGAAGCAAGAATTAAAAACAGCAATTATACGCGTGACAGAAAAATTATTAAAAATGGCTATATTAGTCAGGTATAGCGATGTCGAATATATATTATTAAAACCAGAACCAATACGAACAATCCTTTCATGAATTAACTCGCGATTTTTAGGGTAACGCGAAATATTTACCATTTTTTTCTGTTAACTAATCTACTAATTAATTTTATTATCGTGTTACCAAATAGCTATAGCCCTTTGACACGAACTTTCTCTTGTAACATTTCTTTTAGGTAATAACATTTTAAATTGTAACATTTCTTTAAGGTAATAACTTAGGCTAATGTTTTAGCAAAAATGACAGCTTTATAATATTTGATAAAGCAGTTGTAATTTATTATAAATTAGACAAAGGAAATAATGTCCTTGTCAAATATACACCAGTATACCTATATTTAAAAATCTCGAAAAATGTATTTTTTTTTAACACACTTGTAGTAAGTTATTAATTTCTACAAAAACTGTTGACGTTTCATACATCATAAATAAATGACCGTTAAAGAAATTAAGTGAAAATAACATGTACCTGTCAGCTAATACGAAATCGTCATCTACTAAAGTTGGTACCGTGTGTTGTGGATTTATCTGCAACAAAGCGTTTTATCAACATAAAATAAAAAAACGTTGATGGCGTTGCAAAACTTTAAGAAATTCAAAAGCAAGAATGTTCATCAGAACCTGCTTTGTATTTTACAAAATTTTACAAAAAACTTATAAGATTTATTTATTTATTTATTTTCATATATCATATCAAATACTGTCTATAGTTTACGCGAGTTGTCATTTTTTTATTTTTTTTTTTTTTTTCCCCCCTTTTTTTTTTTTTTTTTTTTTTTTTTTTTTTTTTTTTTTTTTTTTTTTTTTTTTTTTTCTTTTAAAAGTAACTTAGTAAGATTTATTTATTTATCATATATCAGTTATCTATAAAAATCATTTTTTAAATAAGTTTAACTAAATATCGCGTTTTAAACCGTTAAAGTGTTTTATTTAAATATATCATATCATAAAAAAAATATAAAAAATAACACTTTTATGTTTAACGCGTAATATATTGATTCGAACGATTATTATAAGAGACTCAGCGCGATATCCTAACGATTAATGTATAACCCAATTCTTGGTGTCGCGTTTTAAAGCATTCAAAGCGTAATTTAGAAATGGAATATAAATTGAAAAAATTTACGGATTTTTTTTTCCGTGTCCTAAATGTCATGCACCATACTTGCATAATGTAAATTCAACCTTGACACTTCCTCCTTACCTTCTTAAACTCTTCAGTTAAATGCTCATTCTTTAGGAAGTTCACCTCAACAAACTGAACTGGTAGCTTCAGCGCTTCAATGACCCAAAGAACTGACCGAACTGGTGGGCTGAGATCGTACTTGTAAAGAGTGAGGACCATGTTGCACGTTTATTATCTGTGATAGATATTGTACTTCATTAATATTTCCAAAATAAACAATAAAATCAAATGAAAAAGTTAATGTGAAGAATGAAAAGAAATGCAATTTTTTTCCTAAAGGAAGCTGAATTGAAGCTGTAACCCACGATGTCGGTCGTGTCCCATCGTTCGTGCAAGTTCGTACAGTGTCGCAGATTTTTTTTACATCAATTAAAGAGGAAGCATTGTTTTTGGGTGTCTTCAACCGTTATTGCAGCGAACGCGTGAGTTTCCGATACTCACAGAAATTAATATTTTTTCCTGCTTTTCTTTCTTTCCTCGCTCCTATTAGTCACAGCGTGATGTTTTGTTGCCCTAACCAACACAAAAAGAATTATACAATTCGAATTAAGTTGTCTCTGAGATTAGCCCGTTCGAACAAGCAGACTTCTTCAAGCTTTATATATGAGTATAGATTATAAATAAACTTGCAAATTATATTAATGACTTTATCTTAGAACTCATCCAGAGTTCTAAGATAAAGTAATTACACATGTTTTTTCCATACTTTTATCCATTATTTTTACATATTTACATAAACTTACTAAGTAAGTACATGCCGTTGTTGTATTGTTATATGTATCGGTAATAAGTAATTGGTTATATGTAATTTAACAGTACATATATTGTTAAATTACATATAACCTACAACTATTTGACAGTTCTCGTCAGTAGTGGTTCGCATCGAAATTGATCTCGCCATCGCGCCAACTGTATGGATTACACACAATACAAACAAGGCCATCCATTTTTATGAAGTCGATTATGTGAGTAGCATATATTTAAATTTAAAAAGAATACCAGTTTATACTGCGATATATACGGCTACTGTAAGCTCCCGTCGGATCTTTATATATTTTACGGTCATACACCGCGTTTTAAACAGTCAAAAGTGTTTTGTTTTATTAGCTTAATTTAAGAAAAATGGTAACCAATCTACAAACGATAATATTATTTATGAGCTCGGTTTCATTATTTTTATCTCTTCCATTTTCACATTATACTAACCCGTTAATTATTACACGATAAAAAAGATAAGATTTTAAATTACATAAGTCTGTTTAGTAAGAAAATAGATTAGTTTAAATAAGAAACAATTTAAAACTAAATTACATTGCTTTCAAATATTGATCGATTTAATTAATAATAATAATAACAATAAAAACTTTTTTGCACAAACATAGACATAAGGACATACATACCTACTTACAATTATATATACAAAATAAAACATGTTTGTGCAAAGGCGGCCTTATTGCCTAAGGCGATTTCTTCCAGGCAACCTTTGCATGTAGAAATAAGAAATAAAAAGATAATTTTAGTAAACAATCAAAAGTCAACATGAAAAATTAAATTATACAATAAAAAGATTATTTAAACTGGAAATTAACACTAAAGTACTAAAGCTAAACATACTTTATAGATAAAATAACACACTTAAAACCATTAATTAGTTAATATAAATTTAGTCAGAATCGCGTTTAGTCAAATATTGTTTATTCATTACATTAGCCATGCGACCGTTAAAATTAAAAAAAAATTCTAACCCAGTTAATCGTTAATTAAAAATCTATTATTCGACGTTTCCTACAAACTTATAGTAAGAAATATACTAGTACTTACATTAATTCGATAAAATATATATATACAAATTAAATTAAATAACACGTACCGTAAATCCCAAAAGCCGCGCGAAAACTAAAAATGCGCCTGCGCAGTCTCGCGATATTAAAGACACGTTGTGTTTATCATCGTGACACATGATTGCTCAAGGTCATGGCTTATATTGCTGCCGATGATATAACCGATTCAAATATTTGTATCATAATGTAATACTATTTTAGGGTTCCGTACTCTAAAAACAGAACGAGACACTCTTACTGAAACTTCGATACAGATTGGCAACGTGTGTACAAGTATGCGACGAGTACACATTTAAATTAAAGTCGACTTATTCTACGGTACATTTCGTGTATTAAAACGTTATATGTGTTTTATTATTATAGTCAGCTGTTTGAAATTTTACCCACATATTTTCAACTCTATAAACAGATAAAAACAAACATTAAAGGAAGTTCCATACAGCAAATGTGTTTTGTCGCATTCGATTAGTGCCTGTCTAATCGTGTGATAATTTTTATTTTAGAAGTATTAAGTAATGATATTCAACATTTCACGTTTTAAAACGTTAAAAGTGTTTTGTTTAAATCTGCATTACTCTCGTCAGCCACAGGCAGAGTAATTAGTAAAAAGGTATTTAAGTAAATTTATAGTAAACTCGCTTAATTATCTTCATTTATAAGGTACAAAATTTTTATTCCGACTCGCGCTTAGCTAAATTTTAAACAGAAATGCAAGTCATTGTTCACGGTTATCTTTTAGATGCTGAAACGGAATACGGATTTAAATATGAATCTATTCTCTCCTTTTATTTAGTATCTTATTGTATATATACAATATTATAGTATTGTGTTTCAACATCATATAAATATTTACTAGCTGTTTCCGCGACTTTGTCCGCTTGGAATAGTTATTTCGGGCATCATATTATTTATTTCGGTGAAGAACTCCTCAGCTTTATAACTTATAACTGTTACATACGAGATCTTCTTCTTGCGTTCTTGCGTGTTAATCTTAAAAGATAGACATATATCAATGAAACAGCAATGAAAACATGCTACGAAATCCCTCAATGATGAATATTTTTTCCGTTTTTAGAAAATTTCCCTTTGGGTCTTCGCAGATTAAGTAACAAAGATAAAATAATAAATATATTAAAATTCAAATTCTGTTCGAACTTTTGTATTCAACTCGGAAACTTTATTATTTTTTTACCTAAATTTATTGTATAGTAATTACTATCTATTTAAAAGTCGTTTTATTTAAATTAAATTCAATCTTACCAAAAAACCACTTCCATATTTTAATTTTGTATGTACAACCTCAATCTTTTATTTATGAATTATGTATTCTTTATTTACAGCGTAAACATTTTCGGGAAAATTGGAAGCAATTTTTATTTCGAACGAAAACCTCGAATCTGCATTATTTAAAAAAATTGCCTATCAATGTTAATATTTCCAGCGTTCGAATGTGCAATAAATTTCACTTTTAATCTGAAAGTTACTGAGCTTGCTGTACGAAATCACTTTGTTCTTATGCAGTGTTAAGTAATTTATACAATAATATTTTACCTGCTTTTTTAAACGTTGAAAAAATTGAAAGAATACAAAGATTAAACCTTAAATTTATTTTTATTATTTAATTTTAATAGAGTCATCGGTAATAATACAAAATTAACATTATATACTACATTAAAAAAATTTCGCTTTAAATATAATTATACATATATATATTTAATATTCTTTTACCTTTATCCACGCCCTCTGTGATTCATTTAGGTAAGTAAATTTATAAATAAAATTATATAGAATGTTATAATCAATGAGAATTTACATTTATAAGTTTTATCATTCATATAAAATAACTGAAACATATACATGTACAAACAATTGGCATGATTCTAGACCAAGCTTTCATTTACAGTGTCATCTACATTGCGACTGTCAATATAAAATGCGTTTGATTTCGACTCTAAATAAGTTACACGTAGAACAATAGATGTCGCTGAACACATAATTAGTTTTAAATAAAACACTTTAACGGTTTAAAACGCGATATATTAGTTAAACTTATTTGAAGTTAAACTTATTTGATATTAGTTGAACTTATTTGATTTCAAATAAGTTTAACTAATATATCGCCGTTTTAAACCGTTAAAGTGTTTTATTTAAATGTGTACTACTCGCGTAAACTATAGACAGTATTTGCATAATTAGTTTTTTGCTTATTTTGACAATTAATAATTATTAAAATACTAGAATGTATTTATTCTGTTTTTGATGCGCCTTTGCGCCTGATGCGCATTGCGTTAAACGCTATAGGACCTGGGTTCGAATCACGGGGAAACAATAGATTGTTTTGCTTGGGCAGGGCACAAATATCTGATCAGCTACTTTCCTTTAAATAATACACTTTAACGGTTTATGCAATATATTACTTATAGTTATTTGAAAATTATTTTAACTACGGCCCGATGCGCTAACGTAGGCTTTGCAGCTAGCTGCAAAGCATACATATATCGTGTTTTATTTAATTTCGTTAGTGTTTTATTTAAATGTGTATGTACTACTCGCGTAAACTACAGACAGTATTTAAGTACTTTCATGCTTGCCCACGAAGGGAAACGGGATTTTATTTTTAAAAATTCCTTTTGTTGCAATTTTTTTTGCAGTACAGACTAGCTGTGCTTGCGACTTCGTCCGCGTAGAATAGTTATTTTGCCCATCTAAATTTTTTATCGCAAAGAAGAAGGAGTTCTCATCTTTATTGATTACTAGCTGTGTCAGCGATTCCGTCCGCGTAAGATAATTATTTTTGTTGTCAAAATTTGTCTTTTCAACCTCCTCCTCATTTTTATAAATTATAGCTGCCCCCTACGACTTTTTTCGCGGCCCCATTGTCCCCGCAAGTTAACTAAAAACGATAGACATATTCCGTCGCGAACATTTTTTTTAGGTTATGTAAAAAGGAATCATTCTTTCGTACATTTCTTTTTCTTACCACACATGTACACAACGGAAGCGCACACAAGATAAATAATTTTCCCACTTTTTTATTTGATATTTTACTAGCCTTCCTCCAATGATGATTTGACCAACACAAAAAAATGTTTAATTCGAACCGATGGTTCATGACATAAGCGCGCTGAAACAAACAAACCCTTCAGCTTTATGATATTCGGTCACTGTGCTTAATGTTTTTAGACTAAAAATAGAAATAATAAAATTGCTCGGCTGTTCTTCTGCCTCTAGCGGCCTCATATTTTAACATTAAATTTATATGAACTCTCTGCAAACGAAATTTAACTTACAAAAAGATACATATTATATATTTATTGAGCAAAAGGGTTTGCTTATTTTTTTATTAGTATTTTAGAAACATTGAGAGCTATTTCATTCTTTTTCGTAGTGGGTAAAAGTGAAGAGTTATTTATTCACTTGTGTAACTAGATACACTTACGAACTAATAGTATCGAATATTGATATTATCATGATTGTCTTCATTTTCTCGTCTTGGCGTCTAAGCACTTGATAAATATTTTGTTTTAATATAGCAAGCACCCAACCCTGAAACCGCTACCTGTTGATGTCCTACTATACATTTCTATCATTGCACAATCAGGTCCGAACAAAATAAAAAAATCTTGGCAGATAACACTTTTTTTTATTAATTTTGATATATTTTTTTATTTAGAGTTGCATGAATAGAGACTTTGCCAATTGTAAACTTAAGCTATTCTGCTTCTGTACAATTCTCCGAGTATTTTGTTGCCAGGGTCGTTCTTGGTTTTGTAGATATCGAGTTCGGAGCAGCGTTTGAACCACGAGTAGAGATTGGGGTATCTGAAAAAAAAAAACTTATAAATGAGGGACCTAAAAGAAATTCTCCCAGAAAAACAAAAAAAAGCTAATCCAACAATGTTCCCTCTTCTCTTCAGTTGTTGTAGATAAAAATATATAAAAACACGAAGTGACTCTTCTTATATTAGTTAAAACCAGTGTGCCTTGGGATACCTACTATAGGTTTTGGTATCGATCGATCTCAATATGAAATAGGTTATAGAAGTTATGTATGTGTAGTATATATACATATTATAAAGTAGCTGAAGTATTTCACCCCCCATGAAGTGAATCCCACGTTTGCCTGTCGTTCTTTAATAAAAAAATACTTACAACTTAGCATCAATGGGAACAATGACATTCATACTGCTGACACTCGTCACACAGCAGATATCAGCGATGGTGAACTGGTCTCCAGCCAACCAGGTGTTAGTCGCGAATTGTTCCGTGAACTCATAAGCTGATTTAATCTTGTCGATTACTTCTTGGGACACTTTGTTTCTCCCTTCGAAAAAGACTTGGGACTGCAAGCACGGGTTTTATTTACGTTAATTGATAAAGTGTATACAAATTCAATTCGCGTGTTAAACCGTTAGAAGTATTTTCTTTAATGTTTACTGCTCGTGTATATTACTGACAGAAGTTAAAATTATGTAAGGATGCTTAGAATTCAAATAAGATGAAATAAAAGATAACACACAGCAAAACTGTTACATAAAATTTATTTTTTTCTTTTACAATACTAACATTTATTGTATATTTATAAAAAAAATAATAAGATTTATTACATATATATAAAACGATTAGGAAAATGTATTTGCCTTTTTCCACGCTCCAACATCTATCTGAAGCAACCAATTTTCTTTTTTTTTTACTTACGAGTACAGCTAGGTAAAATCGTGCCAAAACCATTTAAATGTATATTTGTATTGTAATAAGAGTTTTGTTGTTCCTATTCCAATTGCCAGTCTTAAATAGCTTTTAATTTTAAATATAAAGCTTTACTTACAAATCCACCACGAAGAGCAGGGAATAAGATACCACTGTCGAAATGCAAACGTTGTTCGACGATCGCTCGTAGCTTGGGCTCTGCTGGGTAAAGGGAGTCATCTTTGCCGTACTTGTTCAATAAATAGGTGATGATGGCATGGCTGCAATTATATGTGTACTTAATTTATTAGTAAAGGCACTAAATAATAGCTATAGAACATCAAACTAAGAAGCACTGTCGACGTATAGCTAATCGAGTGTGTATATTTTGCTTTTTGAGTAGGCATTAGGACTTTCACTTATTGAAAGCAACATGTTCTTCACGGTTTTCCATCTGTTTGTTTCGCCAAGACAATGATGATAATTTCCCAAATGGCCGTCATCATCATTGTCTTGGCGAAACAAACTATTCTTAAATTACTCGATCGACTCGATATTCTTATTTGATCCCTATTTTTTTAATTAAAAAAACAAAGAGGGGTTTATTTTTTAATTTAATTTTTATATACTAATGTTTGGAGGTGTTTTTTCTTTTCTTCAGAACAATAAGTGTTAATTAGCTAAGAATGTTTTAATTTTTTTTTGTTTAAATATTTAACCTTTTTTAGTAATTTCAAGCACCTTATTTTTTTTTTTGTTTTTAGCTGTTGATATCAAGCAAAATAGGCCAAAAGTTTGCGTGATTTGTATGAGCGTAAAAATATTTCCATGTGATTTACGTATCGAAGAGTATACCCTTTGATTACGAAACCCTGAAAAATTACCTGTCCGCGAGTGTGAAGTCGTCATCTACTAAAGTTGGAATCGTGTGTTGTGGATTTATCTGCAAAAAAAGCTTATGTTATGTTTTTGCCAAATGATTATTTATTTGTTGATTATTGTCAGACCTGTATTATTACGTTTAAAATAATTAGTGATAACTATTTAAAAAACGTCTTTATCGTTTAACATAAAGTGACAAAAATGGCTTTGCTATCCATAATTTACTACAACTGATGTCTAAAATAACGAAATGTAATAATTAATTTGAAACGCGAAAATAAGTTGAAAATTTTTTCGACTCGGGCAGGACATGAACCGGCATCATCAGCATTCCGTGCTGTTGCTCTACCAATTGAGCTACCGAGTCCTACACCTCATCGTCGAATTTTTTAACTTATTGATACATGCACCTACCGCGCAATGTAATTTCAACCTTAACACTTGCGGATTAAGGTATCAATTTTTTTTTTCGATTTTTAAATTGTTATTGCACATGAAGGCACTATGCCTTCATGTGCAATAAGTATTTAACAATTTAAAAATAATAAAGTTTTCAAATGTTATAATTATTTTATATATTATAAGGCAGACTAACCTTCTTATATTCTTCTGTGAGATGCTCCTTATTCATAAGGTTTATGTCAACAAACTCACATGGTAGCTTCAGTTTTTCTATGACCCAGAGAACTGACCGTACTGGCGGGCTGCCATCATTCTTGTAAAGAGTAAGGACCATCTTGGATGTTTGTTTCTGTAGTAATAATCGTTATTCAAAAGGGATATTTAACTTGCGCAAGCGCAGTGGATAGACTTGAAGTTACTTTATGACTAAGCAGTTTTTATGTCGATAATAGGCCGACTGTAATAAAATATTAATGTTTTTTTATCTCATAGAATCCAAATTGCACAATATTTATCCTATAAATAAATATTATAATTTTAACAACAGCCACGTATTTATTTAAACTGGCCTAATCAACGATAAAAAAGGTTTTATTATTAACTATCTGTTAAAAGCAATTTATTTAAACATTTTTACATATTACAACAATTTAAAACCATTTCCCTGATAATTATCTGACCCGCGAATCAAAACAATGAGATAAAAGGACGATTAGATTAACAATTATACAGACAAACTATATTATTTTTTTAATACTGATTAGAGAACGAGAGAAATGTACCAATTACAAACCGGTGATGGAATAATCTGTTAGTCACATTAGCCGTTTTAAAATGGTCAGGAATAAAATTATTTACTAATATAAGATTAACTTCTTCATAAATTATAATATTTTTTTAGTTCTACACTAACTAGAAAACTAAACATAAGCCAATAAGGAGTTTCAAAATAAAATAAAATATGATAAAGTATACAAAAACGAACTAAAAGTAAGTTCTTTTAAAATTAAAATAATTCTATTTCCAGAGTTTATTACGTATTTAGATTACAATGAGTTGACGTCATTGTAGGGTTATTATAAGTAATTAATTCAATGCATGACTGTGTTTTTATAGTTTGGATCGAGGAATGCGAAAAATGTGAAGTAATTAATATTAATGACATACCTACTGCATTTGAAAACATTAATATTTTTTACATGTTATTGCACATGAAGGCACTATATAATTTATTTTCGATTTTTAAATTATACCTACTGCATTTAAAAAATACTTACCGATAATCCCGAGAGCTGGCGAAAAACTAAAAATGGGCTCGCTCTGCCCCGAAATATTAGAGAACAAGTTGTGTTTATCATCGTGACAAATGATTATTATCCGAGGTCACCGTTGTCGTTAGCTATTTATGGATAGGTATCAATATATTGCTAGTAATGCCGAATATTTGGGTTCCGTACTCAGATTAATGGGATGCTACTGGAGAAATCCTCTTTTAAATTTTTTATCTCTTTTTGGCGATATTATAAATAATCTATACGGAACTTTTCGAATGCGACTAGCGATTGACCGGTGTTTTTTAAGAGCAAGTCATCGAGTACTTTTATCAGATACCTTATCTTGTATCTAATTATGGTTTGATTTTAACGAGCTGGATATAAAGATTATGTTATTTTGTAATTGTATGGATTATTAGACTGTATATTAGGTGGAAACACGGTTTCCTTTGAGTTGCGATCACCGCTGCGCAGAAGCAGGCAAAAGGATCAAACCCACTAACCTGGTCTTGGAGACGCTCACTTCAGCTCCTCGACCCAGTAGACAGATGCACGGCACCAATGTTAATACGTCACGGACGTTTAACTGGAGTCAAGGACACGCGCGTTCAAGATGGCAGTTCTTTCGCAACTGATTGGGTTCGCTTCTCGCGCGCGCCCAGTTAACACCGGTAGTGGGTAAATACCCTCCCTCAGCATCCGCGATGCAATGATCCAACAATTTGACTGAAGCTTTGAACTGAAGAGTTTTTTTTTCTAATATAAATCATTACAATAATTTTTGGTACATTTCTCTGTGTTTAACGTGAAATATATCTTTCTTGTTATAAATAAAATTCTTCTGTGGTATTTATTTTTAAATAGCTGGTAAGATAAGATTTTTAGCCCTGAAAAACAAATGATAAACTGTGCGTAAATAAATTTGGGCAATATATTTTATAATTTAATGATTATTTCATAATAAATAGTTATGAAAGTTTGCATTATTTAATTTTGTGTATATAATGCCAATATTAACAGAAACTTTCAGAAGGTCAGTAACTTTATGAGCCGATACCATGCAGTAGATTGCCAAAAGGTATATATATTATTAAAAAAAATATAAAAATAAATATTAACATGTGCCCTCTTTCCGCACGCAATTTTATTTTAAAATGTTACAATTTCATTCAAAGCTTGTTTTTTATCATTAGGCGCGAATAATTGTAAGCCATTTTAATTTTGAGATGATAAATAATTTACAACATTAAAACAGGCCCATAAAATATGTCATATGTTCAAATGTGAATCCACTTAACTTTTTTCTCATTGCTGTCAGTGCCCTCTACTTTTAGTTAAAGTAAGTTATAAGTTGTAAATTACTATAGGAGTGATTTGAATTTACGATAATTTAATTTCAACTCAATGGTTGTCTCAGTGAATGGGACTTATAAGGGGACTAAAAACGCACATAAGTACTTTATTTTATAATTATTTGATAGATAAACGATGCTTCATACACTAATTGGTATCTTCTTTAGAATTAAGAAGGGTGTAGTAACTATAGGACCCTTTTAGTATCTGGAAAGATAAATAATGTTTAATAGATGTTGGATTGTAATTTTAAATTATAAATTGTTAGAGAATCACCGTAACAAAAGTAGATATAGTAAGCTTAGTGAATGGCCCAGCTGTGAAAACTATCTTCTTATTCAGTTGTACTCCAAGAAGCAGAATATTTCGGCGTATTTTCACTCCTTGCGACCACCATGCACTTTCATATATACCGCCATCTACGTTGAGACTCTGAACACAAAATATTGCTGACTGAAAATCTACGTCCTTTGTGGATTAGATTGTAAGATGCCGCTTGACACCAATTCGTTAAATGGCCAGACATTAAATTTAAAATGATTTCTGCTGGTCTCCTACTTAAATCGATTACTATAGATAGATTGTAATTTGACGAGCTCGTTGTTCTAACGGTAGCAATGTATGGCTTATAATCAACGGGTTGTGTATTCGACGCCTACCGGGTCTCATCTGTTTATTTCCGGAACATATTGTAATTCAACTGGAAGTCTGGATATTAAATGGACTAAAAGAATTCGTCGAAATTTCGTCCAGGTCAAAAACTAACATTCACAATTGAAAAATCCGTGAAGTTTAATCGCGTTTTGGTTTCAGTTTGAAATGTCACAATCCAAAAAAAGGTCGATAGCGCATCTTGATAGTATATGCCTGGTGTTGTTATAGACCCCGTGCTTGTCTACCTTATATACCGAAAACATATTATTACAGAATCAATATAGAAATGTATAAATACGTTTATTCCATCTAGCCATTCAAGCTAGTTAATAAATATATAAAAGTGTTAAATGCAAATTAAAGCTTTTGCGTTATACGTTACCGTATACAAAACAGTATTACTGTGCCAACAGTAGAGAAAAAGCTGTGCTATAAGCGCTAGTAGATATTCCGCAATCCATACGCGTTGCATAGTAGTTGTTCCCTCCTGAAAAAATATACAGAATGTAGTATTTCCACTCTATGCATATAAAACACCCTTAAATAATAGAATACGTATTGTTTAAGTCTGTAATTTACGCGAATAGTACAAATTTAAATAAAACGCTGTAAACTATTTAAAATGCGACAATTTGTTTTAAATACGCCCGCCTTCCAAATCGTTAAAAGTCTTTTATTTAAATAGGATTTGTTTGTTTTCGACTCGCATTTTAGGAAGCTTAACTAAACACTCTTTAAGATATTTTAGTTTTGGCTTAAATGTAGCTACTTACAAATCACATTTACATTAAATACATGAAATACTCACAAGTTAATTTGCATGCAGTTTGCTATTATATGTTGAAATTATTAGCATAGATGCACAAGGAACTGTATAAATTATGATTTTCGTAGTTACTTACTTTAGTTATTTTAAAAAAAATAATTTTAACTCTTAAAAGCGTGAAATTTATTAGTTAACTTAATTGCAACTTATTTTAACTACGGTCCGACATTTCATCTTTACCGTGATTACACTAAAATAATTCCCTCTTGCGTTAAAAGTGATTTAATTTAAATGTGTACTACAAGCGTAAACTACAATCAATAATTACTGTAGTTAGCTGAACTGCACTCGCACATATCATAAGTGAGCAAATAATAACGTAAAGGAACATAACAGGCGATAGAAGAGAGTCCAAAAGCTTTGAATATCTGAAAAAAATATATATATATAATAGATAAATGCATACGTGCTTAAAAACATACCAATACAATTAAATAATTTTAAATTGGAACCTCGTATTTCTTTTGTATTAATAGAGTTTAGTTTTATTCTGTTTGGAATTAAGTAAAAAATAAAACTGTTTTAAACCAGCCAACGCAATCTTTGTTTTTTTTAATATCACGCATCTAAAACTAACTACATTTAAAATGGTTTCATTTAAATGTATTTTACATGTAAAACTAGATATTTATGAAACTCAAACATAAATCTGCAAATGATTTTTATTTTATATAAGAGAATGACGAAAACCTACTTGACTAAATCAATATGATGATCGTGGCATTCTCGTATCTTTACAATCGCTTCTTCCTCAGATATATCTCTACTGCCATCGCCAAATAATCTACTGCATTTGAATTTCAAAAGCTCAAGTTGCCCTGAGAAAAACGTCATTAGCACCACGGCGTTAGAGTCGTAAGTCGCCACGATACCACCACCGTAGAAACAAATTAACGTGTGCTCCAAAAGCATCACTTTGTACCCGAAATCTTTAGACTTATCGAACGGCGCCCATGAGCTCATAATTTCCGGATACGGCGCAGCGCCATTCCGAATCCTCTCCCTATACCCACTGGATGATAAAAAACTCATCAACGGTGCTAAAATAACCGTAAAAACAGTGGCCGTTACTAAAGACCAGTAGAAGTACGTCACGTTTCTCGAATATTTTTTATACGCATCGCGGATATGTTTGGTATCTTTCGATTGTTTAAACTCGATCGAGGAAACGAAATTGATGATGCTGCACCAGTCTCGCTGCCGGTAGATGAAGGTGCCAGCTTTCACGACGCAAACGGTGCTAAGCATGGAGACAGAGAGGTTTCGGAGAGCCAAATCCAATTTAGATCGAATGAACCAAAGCTCGATGTACTGTGTGATTACGAAGAGAACAGCTAAGACGTGAACAATATTGTACAGAGCTCGTCTTATTCCCTTTTTCGGTTGCCACATTCCCCAAGCCCGTAAACCCTTAAGCGTTGGACCTAATAAAGGATGAACGGGATCTTCGAGCTTCGTAAGCATGTCGGGAATTTACATCAGGGCCGCGCGACTAAAAGATTTTGAAGACAATGCCGTCGTGATTTTATAAGGAGCCAGCTAGTTTTTGAGTGCGGATTTCTTTGTAGATTTTCCACATTTATTGGGATTGTATTTTAAACACAATTTTTTTATTGTTCTTTACAAAAAGAAATATATATTTAACTTAGGTATATTTAATTTATTTTAACTACGACCCGACATTGTGTTTACTTATCATTGCGCGTTGTAACATGTAATTTTATTTTTAGAATTCTGCTAAAATAAAAACCTGTGGTAAAAGACATACTGTTTATACCACGTACTTTATTTGCCATGATACACGTATTGCTAGTCTTCCTCCATATCAAATTATGAAGTCACAACCAGTAACAGAGTGTACTTACAAACCTTTTTGTATACGTAATTGAGGAGGTTACTTTCTCCCGTTGGAAAATATGCCACAATATTTCTAATAAAATTACATACTATAACGTAAAAACATACAGTTTAGTATGAAAGGTATTATTTTTTTCGTAATATAAAAACATAATTGAAGGTTTGCGAAACAGTTTATTTTCTTTAAGTGACAGTAAAATTATTAAGACAAAGGACGATAAAGTATGTATTTATTTTCCGTTAGTTATGTAGTGATTTATTTGATTACATCTATAATATTTCTATATAGACTAGACAAATTATAGAATTTTTGAAATTATTTTTTGCTCAACACAGTATAGTAAGTGTAGGATCCTTTTATAATCTGAAATCAATAAAAACTTAATTACTCACACCTTCTGACTTCAATTGTAAAATCCCGTTTCCCGCTGAGGAGCATGGGGCGTAAACATGTCTATGTTCTTTTTAATGATTGATTTAATTCACATAATATATTGTTAGTCCGATTTTTGTGCCCTGCCCAACCAAAACAATTTGTCATTTCAAACTTGCCTTGACTTGTTTCCATGTATATTTCAAATCAACTTAAAGGTACTAACCGTTATAAAGGTTGCAATGTTAAGCTTTGTGAAGGGCCCAGCTGTAATGGCTATGGTTTTCTTGAGTTGACCAGATAATAAAAGAATATTTTGTCGCAAGCTAAAATCTTGTGTGAACCACGAACTCATGTAAACACCGTCGCTTACCTCAAGACTCTATGAATGAACATATAAACATAACTTATAACAATGTTTATTAATTACTATATAGAACAGCTAAAAAATGTTAGGTTTAGGTTTTAGGTTTATCTGTTTCCACTACATGTCTTAATCTATACTAATATTATAACGCTGAAGAGTGCGTTAGTTTGTTTAAGCGCGCTAATCTCTAGAATTGTTCACGTTTTGAAATGTGCCGGATTAGCTAGTATGTACATAAAAATCATTCAATGGATTAAAAAGTTTTATTAAATGACTTTAGTTAAGATTATTTGTTGTTATTAGGAATAGCTTTTCCGAGGAAACAAGTTGGTTTTAAATATATCATAGCATAAATAGTGTAACTATGCAATATTATAGTAATATGCCACAGGCCGATAGAAACGGTTGAAGTAATCAAATTTACGTAGGATAAAACACTTTAACGGTTTAAAAGATGAAATATATCAGCTCTGCAACAGCCGTGGTCACGGAGAGGACTGAAGATGGTGAGAGCCCCTAATATCGCCCCGATAGCGTAGCAGATTTGACTTTGACATTAGAAAAATCTTTTATCTTCAGTCCCCATCTCACTACAGCTGCTACAAAGCATCTGAAACGTACGGGCCGTTTTAAGAAATTGTAATTAATTAACTAATATAATTCGCTTGTAATATAGGGTAGGAAATTCTATTTTTTTGTATGTAAAAATATATAAATAATGGCTATAAATAGTACCCACAACGTCGTTTACGTCCCGTCTTTACAGTAAGTTAGCCTTAAAAGATATATACACACATATAGTGTTGTTTTTACGGTCATTTAACGAGGAATCAATTTTTCACATATATTTTTTGGGTATCTCGAACCGTCTCCGCAGCGTGCGCATCGGAAACCTACAGCGATAAATAATTTACCCCGTTTTTTTCTTTTCCCCTATTAATCACAGTTTGTACACGTTTTTGAGTACAGTTACAGTAGCTCTTGAGATTAGCAAAGTGTTCAAACAAACACTCTTTAGCTTTATATATTAGTATATCTACATTTTGCAGTTGTTTATGCAAATCTACTTTGAGACCGCGAAATTCAATAATGTCATACACTCGGGATGGTAAAACGTTGGGAACCCTTGCTCAATTACGGCGACGGACAAGCTTAAAACCCACGTAACTATATTCTTTAAAGATTGTTACGACTCTAAGAAATAAATAGTTCACTAATATATTCACCGTTACGTATACTTCATTACTATGCCAGCAATACAGCAACAGCTGCAAGATTAGTGCTCCAAAATATTCAGCTATCCATATTTTCTGCACGGTCGATGTTCCCTCCTTAAAAGACACTTACAAAATTATTAGTTTCATACTTTTAAATAAAACACTTCAACGGTTAGAAACGCGATATATTAGTTAAACTTATTTAAAAGTGTTTTTTTACTTCGGCCCGACTTTTCGGATGCTTTGCAGCAGCCGTGGTCACGTTGAGACTGACCACGGCTGACTGATATATCGCGTTTTAAACCGTTAAAGTGTCTTATTTACATGTGTACTACTCGCGTAAACTATAGACAGTATTTCGTTTCATATAGGAGTAGAATAGTTGTAGGTGGATCGAAATAATTTAATAACGGTGCAAATTCAATCACGAAAGTACGGTGCGAGAGAAGTGGATTCGAGTCTTGACTGTGATATAGATATTTTTAATCTTACTGAATCACTTTATTTAATTACTTTAATACAAAATCCCATTGGCAGATAAAAACCTTCGTTATTTGAATTGCGCTGGCGCATATCATCAAGGAGCAGATGATTACGTAAAGAAACAAAACAGGTGATAAAACGCTATTAAACATTTTGCTGTATCTGTGGATAAAAATAAGGAATATGTAAAGAAAACAAATTCTGTTGTATTGAGTTTAGCGCCACAAACTGGGTTCGAAGCCAAGCGACGTATGATATGAAGGCGTAAGTAACCATTCGTTGGAAGATTTCTTATAGAAATCCACACACACAAACTCGGCAATTCAACAAAACACAACCAAGTTTTTTAAACGGTTTTATTTAGCTCGACCCGTGCAGAATTTATTTATTTGGGTCAAAATTAGAAATTTAAATTTAAGCACCTTTACGTTGTTAGATTGATCTGAAATTTTGTGCACGCATTTAATTTAGATGACAATACAATATAATAAAATCAATAATATTATATATCCAAGATGGCCGCCGATACAAAATGGCGGATTACATATTTTTCCTAAACCCCCTCATTATGGGTATCAAATGAAATGGCTCTTCTAGTAAAACACGATGATTATGTCAAAATTTTAAACACAAAAAATAAAACCATTTAACTTAATTTTTTTTTTAAGTAGATACTTACTTTTTTTTAAGTTAGTATTACGACATAGGTATTTTTTTTATTTAAAAGCAATTTATAGATAAAAAAATACGAAAATGGCATAAAAAAACGGATCACCTTCTGTATAATAGAAACCACCATGTAACGGGTGCTTAATTGTGTCTGTTAACGTACGAGTTAAAATTAGCCAATATACTTTGAGCTTACTTTATCAAGTCCACGTAGTTTTTATGATATCCGCGAATTTTTTTCATCGAACTTTCCTTGCTAATGTTTCCATCGAACAGTCCTTTACAATTCTCTCTCAATATATTCAGTTGTCCAGCAAAAAATGTCATTAGCGCCACAGCGTTGCTGTCGTAAGAAGCGACCGTTATTCCTCCATAAATCAACATTACTGCTTGAATAAGAATGAGCACAGCGTAGCCACATCCTCTAGTTTTGTCAAACGGTACCCAAGAACTTATAATTTCTGGATACGGAACGCTACCGTTTCTTATCACTTCTGCTGAGGCAAAATAACTAACTAGCGGTGATAGAATGACTGCCAAAACAGTGCTATAAGTTAACCCCCAATACAGGTAAGTTATCCTTCGGGAATATCTTATATACAACTCCATAGATTGTACAACACCTTCACCTGGATTACTGAGTTGTTCTCTTTCCAGCCCAGAAACGTATTCAATAATTTCTTTCCAACATTTATTCCAAAGGACAAAACTACCAGATTTCACGACACATACTAAACGCAACGTTGTAAATGAAATGTTTCTTAAAGCGCTAGTGATGTCCGATCTGAGAAACCACAGTTCTGTAACTTCAGTTGCGAAAGTAATGATGGCGAATGTTTGGACGATAAACGCTTTGTCTAAAGTGTTATCTGACTTCCACATGCCTGCAGCTTTGAGGCCCCAAATGATTGGTCCCATTGAGGGATGATTAGGGTTTTCCAATCTTTCTAAGAATTTTAATGCCATTATTCAATTTTACTTTTACGTGTTGCAATTATTACTAGCGAGCGTTCGCCTAACAAACTAAATGCTATATCTTTATAAGTTGGTTTTAAAAGCGATTTCTTTATAATTAAATGCAATCAGTCAATCAATTATGGAGTTACAGTTGTAATTGTTACTCGTGGCATAATTTAAAATGCTTTAATCGCTTAATTTAGCTTTTATTTCACAAAACTAACAAAGGCCAATGCGTAGTTTAAACTAATGGATAGCTCAGAATATATATTGTATAAATAAGTTTACAATGTCACCAAAAGACTAAATTGTGGCTAAGAAACCACAATTTAGTATTTTAGGCTTTAATCTGGCTGACAAACGTATTTAGGATTATACATATTGTTGAATAGTCTTTCTTTTCAGTTCGAAGATGTCAGCGAAGAAACAAAAGGGTGTCAAAGAGATTATGCCGCTATATTATCGACGGTATGTACAAACGAATATTAAAATAAAACAACTTTTTACCTATTACGATGATTTAAATGTATGTCTGTCTGTCACCGACACACATACAGAGCGCGATAGCTAGAGATATCGCGTTTTAAACCGTTAAAGTGTTTTATTTAAATGTGTACTACTCGCGTAAACTATCTAGTCAATCATAGTTAACTCTTATATTATATATTACGCATATTTATTTAAAACATTTGAAACTGGACATATATTAGTTAAAAAATACACTATAGAAAAACTGTGAACCTTGTATAAAACCTTCTTCTTCTCTATCTATTAAAAAACCGCATCCAAATCCGTTGCGTACTCTTAAAGTTTTAAGCGTGCATAGGGACAGTAAAAGCGACTTTGTTTTATACTATGTAGTGATTTAATTTAACTATTGCCCAACGTTTCCGTTCACGGTTTCATTATTTGACGTTTGCCTTCGGGCGAGGGAAGTTTAGAATTTATTGGTCGGCTTGACTTTGACTTTTGGTCGCTAATAAAATGCTAATTAACGTTTTAAGTTAGATATCAACCGTGAATTAGCATATTAACATTTACCAGTACTCAAAATCTGTGTACACAGCTTAAAGATCTTAATCTTTTCATTACAAAGGGCTGAATAAGTGCCGTTGAATTTATTACTGAATATTTGATGAGATTGGATCGTAAAAGTAAAGGGGCTCTTCTTGAATCGCTACCTAATTAACTTACTGTGATTAATTTTTTACTGTTTCGGCATGAGAAGTTTCTTTATAACATGTGAACAACTTGGTACTCGCTCCTCGGACACGTTTTTTAATGAAAATCAATTGAATTTCACGTTTAAATAAAACATCTTAACGATTTAAAACGTGAAATGTATTCTTAACCAATTTTTACCAGTATTCACCAATAATTAAATACGGCGCATTTCTTTTGCGAATTCGTTAATTTTTCCACGTTTAAAACCGTTAAAAGTTATTTATTTAAATGCGAACATTTTATTGATTTTCAAATAAAAATGTGTCCCAGTATCGAATACAAATTTGTTCACATATTGATGAAACATATTCTGTATAATGTCTTAAACAAATGCGAATTGAAAAAAAACAGTTTAGAAGTTACTTCGGAGCGATTCTTTCTAAAATTACATAATCGTAATCGGTCGTAATAGAGAAATGGTTTTCGACGTTTTTCCATCACGAGTGGCTGTGACCATTAGGAGGTATTGCGTTATCTTAACTTGAAAATAGCTCGAAAATCCAGGTACAAATGGCCGCGTAAGCCTTACGCGATTTATGACAATAAAAGTTATTACACTACGATCGAATAATGGACATTTTTTTAGAGTATTTAATTTGTTAAAGTAAAAAACGATTTTAAATTTACGACGATATTTTACGACTCTGGCTCTACCAAACTGAGGGGCCCAATCAATTTTTAATTTATATAGTGCCATCATGTGCAATAACGTGAAAATGATCTTATAATTTGAAATATTTAATTTGTTTTAAACGGTATTGTAGTAAAGACACGTATATACTCATTTATAAATTATAATAAGCTTTTACGAATTATATGTGTCCCAGAATACAATTCACATTCATTTTACAAATTGAAAAATTAATATTTTTCACATTTATTGCACATGAAGGCACTATATAATTTAAAAATCGAAAATAAATTGAAAAAATTTTCGACTCGTATATAATTTAAAAATCGAAAATAAATTGAAAAAATTTTCGACTCGTTTTCAATTTATTTTCGATTTTTTAAATTATATAGTGCCTTCATGTGCAATAACATGTGAAAAATATTAATGTTTTCAAACGTTATAACTTTGTAATTTCATCTTCAATGATTTCTTAAGCTCAAAGCATAAGACATTGAGCCTTAATACGCAAGTGTTAAGGTAGAAATTACATTGCGCGAGAGGTGCATTTATCAATAAGTTGAAAAAATTCGACGATGAGGTGTAGGACTCGTAGCTAATTGGTAGAGCAACAGCACGGAAAGCTGACGATGCCGGTTCAAGTCCTGCCCGAGTCGAAAATTTTTTCAATTTATTTTCGATTTTTAAATTATTACAAAGTTGTCAAACAGCGCAAATATTAATTAAGCATCGCACAAAGTTTCAAGATGTTGAATCATAATTTGGTCTTAGAGTTTGTATCCATTGTTATAACGAGACGTCAACGAGAATTATCAGTCAGTCATAATATCATCGCACTCGTAATCTGAAATAAACATTCTCGTCGTTTCCTGAAGTATAAAATAACAGCCGCGAAATGTGTTTTGCTGTAAGTATTCCCTTTGTTTTGCACGAGTTAAATAAAATACTTTAGATGGTTTAAAACGCGAAATATAAAATTATTTTTAATAAAAGCAGAAATAAATTATAAAAAATAAGTTAACTAATATATATAACGGTATGAGCCTTTTGTTTTGTTTTCTGGTAAAAGATGAATTCTATGTTCCATTAATGAAATAAAAAAAAAACAATGGATTCGTTGATAACCGTCATATTTACAATTGTAACGATTATTTTTGCCTACGCAGTTATCTTGAAACAATTACAATGGACATACGCACTAAAAACGCGAATCCAAGTTTGGATACTAATTGAGATTATTAATTTTAATTGCCCTCTGTAAAATTAATTTTTGTAATTATTAGAAATTTAATTTTACGACAATAATTATCTTTTGTTCACTTAACCACTTTACAACTTTAATTTAAATCCATTCTTATTAAGTAGAACATTAATGCGACTAGAATTTGCTATTTTGTTCTTCTTCAAAGAACAAAAAAGGTTAAACAGGAAAACCCACCTCGTTTATGAACAGGTAGAAATAGGATTTCCACGCTCAGCAAGAATTAAATAAATCGAGTTTTCTCATTGAATTCCTTTAAACGTTAGACGAGAAAAGAACAAGACACAAATTGAAAATCGTTAGAAAAACATATTAAAACAATTATTAATTTGTATATTCCTTAATTAAAACGTTCTAAACAGTTTACTATTAAAATAAGGAAGTAATTTTTAACACTAAACTATATCATTGCTTTTTCGTATGTAGGTATGGCAGACGGGATTATGGTAGGATGCTATAACAAGAAGCAGTAAGTATATTATTGTCTTGATATTTAATAGGATAAAGTGCGAGCTTACGAATATGTTGCCCTTTGCAGTAAAATTGATTTAAACGGTAACATGATTGTATTTGCACACCATATTATCATTCTTCCATATATATCCACTGATCCGATTGTCCCTTATAAAGGATTAGGACAATATATTGTATCTTTCTGCTGACGAAATTGGATTGCGCTCGTGTTATCTATGTTCGTAAATATACACTTAGAGAGACCCACAGATCCAACCATTTTTTAAAAATAGAACCGATGTCAACAACAAAAGAAAAAGTATGGGTTGTCTGTGTTACGTACGTTAAATTACCGAATTGACTTTTTATACACATGTTATAGTTAAGTTTTTATTTAAGAAACTATCGTTAAATATTTTCTAAGAGATTGTTTCTCCTTTCATATGCCATGCCATATATGTTACCATACGTTACTAATTACCTTTGTGAAACAAAGCGTGTCTATTAACGCTCTTTCCAACATTCATTTGTATACAGTTTATTTACAGTCAGTTGTAAATCAATGTACCGAACTATAGTCAGACATTTAAAAATTTTATCTTTGCACATATTATAATTAACACTGTAAAAGTTTGATACCAAGTGTATTTCACTCTTTACAATTTCAAAAATAATGACTCTTTAAATTTTTTATACAACCATCCTCTACTAGTAGGTCTATCACATTAAAAATCTTTGTATATAAATAAATCTGTTCAATCATAACATATTACTTCATTAAAGCATATCTTTTGAAGATTTTAATATATTATAAATTTAATGTGTCACGGTAGCTCAACAGCACGGAACGTTGTGGATGCCGGTTCAAGTCTTGCCAGTGTTGTAATTTTGAACTATATCCTTTTTAGAATTTTCACCACTAGGTTCTATGTACTGCTTACAGAGGGTTCATATAATGGCCGTCGTTTGTGGAAATTGCCTCCCCGATGGGATAAATTGCTCTTAAACGTAGAGGCGTCTGCAATTATTATGATGTAATCACACTAGATTGACGGTAACATGTGAAGGCGAAGGGAAAACAATCTCTACTGTTTGGAGAAGAAGCAGGTCTCTTTGGTCAAATTGTATAGCAATATTTGGTTAATAATAATAAATGGATTGTGTTCGATTTTTATTCAACATTTACAATTTATAAATTTTCTGATACTGCGTGTTAGAAATATTAAAAATTTGGTCCTTATTAAAAATAAGCTGTCTTCGTTTCGGTTTGTGGATTTCCGTAGGTTCAAAGCAAAATATTTTGAAAACGCAGGAGATAAATTATGCAACTGTAGTTTAGCTTTTTTATTAATTAAAAAGAAAATGTACGTTTGTGACACAAACAGGCAATGAACCGGTATCAGCGATTTTACTGATAGAAATATTCTCAATTTGATATTATTTCTTACTAATTATATTATTTTAAATATTGTGCGTGATACCTAACGGTTTAACGGTATAAAACACAAAATGTGTGAGCTGACGACGGCTGCTAAAAACATTTAAATAAATTGTAAGTTATTACCATCGTTTTCTAATTGTATATAATATGATATATAATGCAATCATATATTTTTGTATTTCTATATGAAACTGTCACTTTAAGCTTCTATTATAAGTCAAAATGGTCATAGCAGAATACAAAAGAGCTTCAACAGTATTTTCTCAAAAAATACTTATTTCTAAACAATCTTACGAATGCGGTCAAGGATCGCTTGTCACTCCCGATAAAATACCGCTATATAGGGTGGTTTATTTAGATCCTAATCTTTAGTAGAATATTATTTTTTCTTAAGATTTTAAAGATATACAGATATAATCTCTATCTCTCTGTTGTATTCAACGAGGTTCGTGACAAATCGACCTCGCAGTCTAAGATAAATAATAGTCTTAAAATAAATCAATTAATAGAAACGTTTAGTAACGAAACATTTAAAGAAAATCATTCTTTAATTCATATAGTTTGGGTGTCTTGAACCGTTTTAGAGTACGCATCGAAAATCTTCGTCTTCCGTCTTTTCCACATTTACCGCTGTTTCTTCGTTCCTATTAGCCATTCACACTGTTTGACAGCGTTACTAACATCTTAATAAATTAGATAAAGCCTCTAATCCACACAAAAAAAATCACTTAGACCTAGTTGTTCCTGAGATTAGTGCGTTTAAACAAACAAACTCTTCTCAAACAAACAGCTTAATATTATATTAGTATAGATGTATTTTGACTTCTAATTTCCAGTGTTGATGGTTCGATTCTTGGAAGATTCATTAGTACCTAATCAAACACAGAGTTCCTGTCCCTCATTCAGTTGTGGTTTTACTTTTGGAGAATACGCACAATCTATTATCACTTCCAACAGCCTGTATAAGACTTAGCGGAAATTTAATTAATCCCAAATGTTCCAGGAAATTGCTTTCTAAAAGTTTATACAAAATAACTTTGACTTGTCCAATTAAAAGGTTCAATGAATATACGATAATATTGTCTTCTTGAACATATTTAAGGGTCTTAAAAACCTATCTATATATCTATACTAATATATAAAGCTGAAGAGTTTGTTTTGTTTGAACGCGCTAATCTCAGGATGTGGTTTGAATAGAAAATTCTTTTTGTGTTGGTTAGAGCATTTATTAGGGAAAGCTATAGGTTATAAAACACCGCCCTGTAACTAATACAAGTTACGCAGGGAATGTGATTTTTTTTGGAAAAATTATTCATGTTTGTGGATTTCCGAGGCGTACGCTGCAAAAACGGTTCAAGATACCCCAAAAATATGTATGAGAGATTGATTCCTCTATAAATGATCTAAAAAATATCCGCGACGCTATATGTCTTTCTTTTAAGATTAACTTGCAAGAATGCAAACCAAACCAACTCTTACACAATTTATAAAAGGAGTTTGCAAAAAAATTTGATTCAAATATATTTTTAGTGGACAAGTTCTGGCACAGGTAGTCTTAAATATTATTTAAAAAGTGCAGTTCTTAAGGTTAAAATTTTTTCAGATCTTACTTTGCAATAAATCCTAATTAAAATTAAATAATTATAAGTGAAAATATAAAATTCTATGATTATGTAGTATTTATTTAATAAGAAACATATATTCTCGACGTTTTGTGTTCTCTGTTAATATTGTTGTCTGAAATCACCCATGTATGGGCTAAATACGAAGAAACAGCTAAGTTTACAAACTCTATCTTGATAAAAGTATTTTCACCAATTTTGATTACCATATTAATACCGGATCTCGAGTTATTTGTATATGTTTTTTTTAGATATAAAGGTTATTCTTAGTTGATACTAAACTGAAACCTAAGTCTTTTTTTCGCAGAATCAGGATAAAAAAAAATCAAAATAAAAACTCACGAAGTTATAAATTTTTGTCGACGCAGCGCGCTTTCTCGCAGTTAGTTCAAAGCGACGAGCGGCCGCATCCCAATTTTAATACCTATTTAGTTATACTTTATAGGAATTTATTAATCGAACGGTGTCCAAGATTTCAAAAATTTCATATAATTTTGACAAAAAATATAACGTAGTATAAAAACTATGGGAATGGTTCTGCTACTGATTCTGAACAAACTACGAATCGTTCTTTAAAACATCACATATACTCAACAGCGCACGCAACAGAAACAGTCAAAGATTTTTTTATGACTACTAAGCCTAAGTTTAAAAACTTTCATCGATAAATGTTCTAACCAACATTTTCAGTTCAAACTAGTAGTTGCTGAGATTAGAGCGTCTAAATAAACAAACAAAGACTTCAGCTTTATAATATTAGTGTACATTAATTAACAAAGATCGGCTGCCATTCTTAATAATTGAAAATCGCAGTTCAGTCTCTTAACATAAAATACACAAGAAGTTTTGATCGTAAAATAATAGCTACCTACTAGTACCCGTAGCTTAAGTCGTGAAGTATCGCGTATCTGAAATTCCGAACATTTCTCGAAGACAAGAACAAATCGCAAAAAACACAATTAAGTTGGCATTTATAAGGATTTGTTCGCTAATGGATTGTTCCGTTGGGTTAAATCTTGTTAAGTGTTCTCTAAGTGCAAGGGTGAATTTGTTTGAAGGTCCGAAAGGGTCCCAGAGGCAGAGATCTATTTATACACATGTTAGGTCGTATCACTAGGATGGCTTCTTCAAGGGTGCTAGGTTTTTTTATACTTAATAATAAGATACATTGAAAGGATTTGTAGAAACATAATTATTAAAATGAAACATGTTTTTTTTCTGGTTAATAAAAGGAAATCTCGGGAACGAACCAAAATTGAAGAAACTGTAACTTTAACGTGTTTCTGTTTCAGTCTGTTGATTTCCGAATATCCAAAGCCAAAATCGGTCGACAGTGCATCTTGTTTAGATGCAATAATATTACTCCCCCTACATCTTAAAATAAAAGAAACACATTGGACGGTTTTAAACGCAAAATGTATCAGTTAGTGCGAGCCCTCTATTTAGAGCAATTGGGGGAGGGACAGCATAGATTTCTATGTTTGTGTCTTCTTATTGGCATCGTAAATTTTATTGTAATTATTATACCTTCTGACATACCGCTAAGTAAGACAACTAATTTTAAGTAGTAGATAGCTATGTTGTAAATTCTCAATCTGATGGAACACTTAGCCAATACTTCGTAACATAAAACCTTCATAAACCAGGGAGGAAGCACTTCACGGCTTTTAGCTGTAATCGATCCTTATTGGGTCATTATTGAGCCATAATTCTTTATCAGGTACTCGGCAGTTAATATCATAGTCATATTGAGTTCAATAAACGTTGTAGATTATTAACAATATTATTTTGTTTCTTTAGTGTATGGGATGTTCTCTCTCTTAAATGTCTATAAACGGTGCACCGCGCCACTGTTCTAGTGATTTCATATAATCATCGAACTATTAACTTTTAAACAAAGTTTGTTTGTTTTTTCGCATTTTTTTTTTTTTTTTTTTTTTTTTTTTTTTTTTTTTTTTTTTTTTTTTTTTACTCTCTATTATTGATAGAAGTACAGCTAGGTTTGGAAACAAACATAATTTTGTAGCATAACTGTGCTTCAAGTTATCTATTAGACGTCAACATCCCAGGATCCAACGTAAAATCCACCTACTAATTTGCTGAAGACGGAGCCCTTATTGTAATCCGAAACCTACTGAACCATCGCTCGTATCCATTTAATTTTTGTTCTGAAGTCAAATTGAAGTGCGTAATTTGGGTTATGTATAATTTTTTTTTTAGATAGAAGATAGTGGTTTTTTTTTTTTTGTTTGTTAAAACCCCTTTTTTTTTTTTTTTTTTTTTTTTTTTTTTTTTTTTTTTTTTTTTTTGGATATTCTGAATACCTCAGACTGAAACCGGAACACTGTATAAGAAGATAAATAATGTTTTCTTTTGTAGGCACTTAGTAAATACAACATGACCCCATTAGATGACTTGGTTTGGTTAATTTTGACATGTCATTGAAACATTATTGTACTTGCACATGTGTGTGGCTCTGTAGCACGACACACACACATATAAATAGCGTTTTATTGGTTAACAAATTATTACAATTAGAACACGCAACATGTAGCTTCCTTAGCTACATTACGTAGTACCTTCGCTATACTTTTTACTTATTTTTTTTGTTAATAATTATATCTTTATAGCAACTACATATTTTCTTGTCGTATTTTCTCTATTATTTTGCTATAAGGCGATTTGGGATACGAAAAATACCTGAAGAATAAGTATAGTTGATAATATGTCATATCAGATGAAATATGTTGCAACTGTAAAATTTGGGTCACCTTAGCAGAATTAACAACCTTTAGAAACCAAATTATATTTTGTTCAGGTAAATGAAAGTCTCGTATTCGGTTCACGCGTTGTTATTATCCAAATATCTTCAAAGTTCAACAATATTTCAACCTGTTTATCTGGCGTAATGAACGTGTTTTGACATTGCCGGGGTAATGTGATTTATATGAAAGACACGCACTTTTAGAAGTTTTTCTATGTCACATGGATACAAACATTGATTGTTGCGTTTATAATAATAATTTTTAATAAATATTATTTTGTTCTTTTAATTATACCAACTCAGCCAGCGTACGTAGTGGACGTATCGTAAAATAACTTTTAAAATACAAAATAATTAGAAAAGTAAAATTGAATCTTTTAACAATAGTGATAAAGTTTACAATCTCGTGTTACAGTGTGTTACTTAGGTCATTAAAAGACGGAGTAATTGCATAACAGGTTTGCAAAGTACACAGATATAATGTTACGCTCTCCAACTAGAAGTGACCGGGACAAGAGTCTAACGGGTTCGCATCCTAACTTGACTAGTGGATCCGATTTAAATCAAGACTCCTCCACTTCCCATAGAGTAGCGACGCGTAATAAGAGGAAATATCCTAATGATGATACAAGTGTAAAAGATGAACTTTTCGACATTAAGAAGCAACTATCAGCTATGATGGAAATGTTATCAGTACAAAACGTAAATCAAAAAGAATTTATGGATAAAGTATCAGGAGATATTAATGATATTAAAAACGAAATAACGCTAATAAAAGGTATAAGTCAAACATTAACTGAAAAATGTCACTTGCTTAGCTCTGAGATGACCTCCCTTAAAACAAAAACCTCTGAGAACGAGGCGAAAATTGAAAGCTTAGAGGTAAATATTGGGAAGCTGAGTACTCCGACAAACTTGCCACTTGAATCTATACTAGGTGAGTTGAATGAAAGACAAGAAAGAAGTAGAAATGTAATAATCTGTGGTATATCTGATGCGCAATATGAAAATAAGGAAGAAAAAATAGCAGCAGACACAAAGGAAATACTACGTATAACAAAAAAAATAATTCCGCAATGCCCAGAACCTAACTATATTATGAGGCTTGGAAAATTTAACCCTGAAAAAAGGCGCCCAGTTAAAGTGTCGTATGACTCTAAAGATCTTGTAAAGGAATTGCTGCGCAATAAAAACGCTGTCTCTTCAGAACAAATAAAATTATTTTCTGACAAAACACCTAAGCAAAAGGAGCAAATAAAAGAATTAAAAATAGAATTAGAACGTCGTATTAATAATGGAGAGAAAGACCTTATTATAAAGTATGTTAAGGATGTCCCAAGAATAATTCATGCAAAAAACTATCTACACTAGATCATAAGTACGAAAATTTTGAATGTATAACAAATAGTCAAATTGTGAACAAATATAGTGACATCATAATTACCTCAAATTCTCTCACTTTTTTTATACTTAAACGTTCGCAGCATAGTGAAGATGGGAAAACTTGACGAATTAAAATGTATTATTGGATCATTTACAACTCCGCCACACATAATAATTCTAGTAGAAACCTGGATAAAAAATGACGATGAAGCAAAATCTCTTAAAATTCTCGGATATTGTCACTACTATAATTACAGAAAAAATAAAAGAGGTGGTGGTGTGTCTATATTTGCCCACAATAGCCTATCGCACACGATAATTGAAGATCAATGTATCGATGACAATCATTTCCTACGCGTCTATATAAAAAATTTCTCACTTGATATACTTGCAATCTATAGAAAACCAGACATGAAAAACATCCATCTATTTCTAGACACTTATCAAAAATACTTGAACAAAATGAAGCGAGGCATTATCTTTGGCGACTTTAATATAAATCTACTCAATAATGATAAATACATTGCTGCTTACAGTGATATACTACAAGGATCATCATTCAATATTTTAAATAACATAGACAAAAAATATTGTACTAGAGTGACGACAAACACAAAAACATTAATAGACCATATAAGTACAAATTTAAAGGAACATAGTTTTAATTTGGCATTAATTGATAGTGCATTATCCGATCACAAACAGATGTTTTTAGAATTAAAAAGATATAAGCCTCCCCCGCGTCGAAAGATTAAATACGAATCTATAAATTATAAAAAACTATTTGGAATAATAGAAACATACGAAAGTGAGAATAAAGAAACCGGTCTGACTCTACTGGAAGAAAATATAAAATCAAGCATAAAAATAAGTAAGACTATAAAATATAAAATCATAAATTCTCCAAGACAAGAATGGATAAATACAGACATAATTGAACAAATTAATGAAAGAAATATGTTATGGAAAGAACACAAGAAACAACCAGAAAATAAATTTAAAGAAGAAATATTTAAGAAGAAGAGAAATTCTACGTTATCAAATATCCAAATGGCTAAAAGTAAATACTATATAAAAGCTTTTAACGATACTACAAATCAACCAAAAAAAATGTGGAAACTAATAAATGACTTGTCAAATAATAAGACTAGAGATACTCCAATCCCAAGCAAGATACTTACGACAAGTGGTTTCGAGACGGATCTTCCAACAATTTGTGAAACTTTTAATTGCTACTTCTCTGATATTGGTTTGATCTTAGCCAATAAAATTACATCTAATACTACCTTTGTAAGTAATAGTAACACATCAATACTCGGAATCAATAATAAACTAAACATATTAACTCATTTTAAACCTGCTTCTAACACTGAAATGGATGCTATAATAAACAACTTAAATTTAAATACAAGTACAGGAATTGATGGGATCAACACTAAATCAATAAAATGTATAAAGAATCTTATTTTAAATAACATTACTAACTCTATAAACCATTGTCTGCATAACGGTACATTTCCAGATTCGTTGAAAATAGCAAAGGTCTCTTCCATCTTTAAAAATGGTGATAAAACAGAACCAGGTAACTATCGTCCAATTTCGGTGTTACCAGTTTTGTCAAAAATCCTTGAAAGAGTGCTATATACACGTCTTCAATCACATTTAAACTCCATAAATTTTCTTTACAACCAACAATATGGCTTCAGACCAAAATCCAACACACTTTCGGCAACAATAGATATAGTGACCAAATTAAAACTTGCTATAGATAGAAAAGAGATAGCAATAGGCATCTTTATAGATCTGAAAAAAGCGTTTGATACCGTCAGCCATGACCTACTAATCAAAAAATTAAGTAATGCTGGATTGACTGGTCCTGCTTTAAAAATTTTTAAATCCTACTTGCAAAATCGTTCACAGGTAGTAAAAATAGGATGCGCCCAAAGCAGCCCCAAAACTATATCTTACGGTGTACCTCAAGGCTCAATATTAGGACCACTATTATTCCTTATATATATAAATAGCATAAAAGACATTGGTCTTAAAGGCGAAATAACTCTATATGCAGACGACACAAGTCTTTTCTACTTTGGTCGTTCAATAGATTCCGTCCTAAAAGAAGCTCAACATGATCTAGATCTCCTTAGCTGTTGGTTTAAATCTAACCTACTAACTATAAATGTATCAAAAACCAATTTTATCATATTTGCCGCAAAAAACAAAAAAAACCTCATTATTACACCCTTAACTATTAACAGCATCCCAATTAATAGAGTATACCATGAAAAATATCTTGGCCTTATCTTAGACAGCACCTTAACCTTTAAACCGCATATAGATAAGATAAAATCTAAACTACTGTCCTTAACTGGTGCCTTACGGGGCCTGGTACGATGTTTTCCACAAGACGTAAGATACACAATCTACAATTCTCTTGTTAAACCTCATATCGACTATCTTATCGAAGTTTGGGGCTCTGCTGCCAAAACTAATATTAAAGAAATCCAGACTGCCCAAAATAAACTAATAAAAAGGTTGTTTAACTATGATTTTTTATCACCCAGTAATAAAATATACAATGAAACAAAAATATTAACCGTAAAGCAATCATACTATTATAATACAAGTATATTTATATATAAGCTTATAAATGATAAAATACATTCAAAAATAAACTTTACAAAAAAAAATGAAACTCAAAAAATAAAGTTAAGAAATGCTAACGATTTAATTTTAATAAATCCTCGAACGAATTATGGTAAAAAGAATGTCAAATATGAGGGCGCAAAAATATATAATAATCTCCCCAATAGCATTAAAAACGCAAATACTATTAAATCATTCAAAAACTTACTTAAAATTTATATATTTAACAAGATAAAAATATAAAATCATACATATCTATATATCATCATACATATATATAATCCTTTATAACTTATCAACAGCGAGAACTAACCTTATTTAAAATATAGGTATATTTCAAAATACGATACATAGAAAAGCATCAATTCCAATGTCATATCTAGTAGCCTTGTATCAATGTAATTACTATTACTGTAATGTCACTCAGTGAGTAGCTGTAGGTAGATAATATTGTATTCGCTTAAAATGTTCTTCTACCTGCCTTTGTTACAATTCATTTATTTTAATGTTGCATAAGTCTCAGTGTATTTAATTAAAATAGTGAGTAGTATAACTCTTATATGTAAGTAATTAATTATAAGCTACGTACGCATTAGTTACAATATGTTACCTTAAGTGAATGTATATTCTTCTGGTAATAAATTCTCTTTAAACCTAATTATAATAATCTATACTAATATATAAAGCTGAAGAGTTTGTTTCTATGAACGCGCTAATCTCAGGAACTATGGGTTCGAATTGAAAAATTCTTTTTGTATCGGTTAGAGCATTTATCTAGAAAGGCTATAAAACATCGCCATGTAACTAATACGAGCGAAAATACAGCGGGTAATGTGGAAAAAACGGGGAAAATTTCTCAACATTGTGGGTATTCGAGGCGTACGCTGCTAAAACGGTTTAAGATACTAAAAAAATATCCTCTTTAAATGATCTAAAAAAAGTCCACGACGCTATCTATATATGTCTATCTATTAAGATTAACTTGTAAGGACGACGGGAAGGGACGCGACCGACTTCGTGGGTAGTAGGGGAAGTTAATGCTCAAAATAACACTATTCTACGCGGACGAAGTCGCTGACACAGCTAGTTGGTACTAAGTATATACCTAAATACATAATTTTAAATTATTTATTACCAAGTAATCTATAGAGTTTACTAAAATCGATATGTTTTAAAACAATGCTTATATTAAAACAAAGATGACCTTCAAATTACTAACTTGTATACCTTCTTTTATAAATAAGATTTCCCAAACTGTACCGGAACAGGCGAGTTCCATTAATATATTTCGCAAAGTCATAAATTTAACGGCCGGAATAAATTTTATCATAAAAATGGTATAAAATGTATTTTCCCTGCTCTAAGTTAGTTCAACTTTGACTATAAAATGATAAGTCAACTGGTTATAATATAAAATAAGATTTAAATCAAGGTGACACGAATTCAAAGTTCCTTTTTTTTATCTACCTCATTAGTCTAGGGGGTTTGTAGACTCAATTACAGACCACGAGGTGCCGGGTTCAAATCCAGGGTCAACGTTTTAAGAGATTTGATTTTCAACCTGGAGTTTGGAATCCTTATTCCCAGTTATAATTACTTAAAGCCTACCAACCCGCACTGGATCTTTGTGCTAGGAATGTAAACCCCTCCTTAACGTGAAGTTACTCAGTTTTTCATTTTCTTTATTCTAAATATATAAAACATGATTCATATATTTTCCGAATTTTTTAAAATATTTTCCATTTTGCTAAACTAAAGCAAACCTCCTATAGTTAAAAAGTAAATTCAGGTTTTTTCGAATACACAGAAAAACTGTCTCGCAAAAGATAAACATAATTATGTTTACTTTAATTTCAGAATGCTAAAAAACATTTTCTTAGTAACCGACGATTTGCATTTCAAAGGACCAAGATAGAAGGAGCATATTATAATAAAAATATATTAAAGTTGTGTACTGTAAGCGCTGTAAGTTTCTAATAAAATATAATTATTTGTGGCAATGGTTTGAAAAAAGTACCAATTTATTTTCTTCTTTTATATACTGTCTTAACCAGTACTCATTTAAATAAAACACTTAACGATTTGAAACCCTGTTAAACGTTGGTTAAACTTATTCGGAAATTATTTTAACTACGGCCCGACGTTTCGGATGCATTGTAGCAGCCGTGGTCACGCGGAGACTTTCTTCTTTTATGTCAAGGACAATGGGGTTTTCTTAATCCAAGTGGACAAACCACCCTTATAGCGTTGAACTAGGATGCGATGTTCCTATCTAGACTTTGAACTTTCGGAAATCTTGACTGAAACTGAAGCGTGAATGTTCCTCCACAGTTTTCTTGTCT